GCTGTAAACTTTTTTCTCTTTCTAGTTCAATATATTTGTTCTCATTGCCATTCGTCCCTTCCAGCTTTTCTCAACTCACTATTGCGCTCAACCGAGGAAGACCTCCCGTTAGCCTGAAGCACGTGCACGCAGAGCGAACTACGCCAGACTGGTAAGGTTTAGTGCCCTGTAGTGTTTATTATTGCAAAGGTACACAGTGAAGAAAAATGTACAGATCATTTTTTGTTTCTAGAATACACACTATTGTAGACTTTCTCGAGAAAGCAGTGAACGATTTAGACTTATCAAATGAGAGTAACACTTTTTTCTAAGACATTGAAAACTATTTTCAATTTAAAAACGCTTTTAACTATATGCAGAATGCGATCTACTGTGTAAAAACTGCATCAATATCTATTGACATGACGTAGGCACTGCTTTATTTTTAATTCTGTATAGTTTATGAAACTTCATTTATGTACAATATACTTGGAAAAAAGATGTGTATGCACATTTTACTCATATAAAATAAAGTTTACGTGTACATCTTATTTTAGAGATTCATTAAAAATATTGGTCACGATAACGTGTGATCGTGATCATGGTCGTGACGGTCACGCAGGAAACTATCTGTAACAGTTTGTATTTGAATTTAAAACAAGGTCAATTTTGATTTGTATTGAATTTTTGTTTTTCAAAATGATCCAACTTTTTGCATGAATTCTCTGTTAAACTATCGAGAGACGTTTTTAATGCAACTCATCTTCTGTACGAGACTATGTATTTTAATATAACATTAATATAGATAATTAAATCATTTAAGAAGTATTTAGTTGATTAATATTGATGCTTGACTAGTTTTGTTGTGATCGGTACTTTTAATTGTTGATAATTCAGACGGATTATTTAACTTTTTTCATTAATCTTTCACATTAGATTAATATAAATAGTATACGAAATATCTAATCTTCTTAGAAAGATGAATAATTGAACACGTAGATATTTCTAAATAAAGTGATACTTAATTCTACTACATAACTTCAACATAAAGGTATATAAAATCCACGTTGCGAAGAATACATGTTCATCAACTTTATACTTACAAATAGCGTTGAAAGAAGTGTTTTCTAAGTATTTTCAACGTTTTCTATCTCGTTAGACCATGGCACATTTATTTGCTGTTGAGGATTCTCTATGCAAAGCCCTGCAAAATAGGACTTTTTGTAAATATGTCACGATCACCTTTATTTTTTTCTACTTTCATATAATATTTTATTTATCTAATTTGAACATGACTTTGTCGGGCAACATTTTCAATTGATAATTTGAATCAATTCATTCTAAACAAAGTTTTTTGCAATGAATTACTTCAGATTATTCATTGAAAATATTTGTTGACAAGGTCATGATGTAATCTGATAAAGAATAATTATTCTGCATATTTGTATTTAATATCATCACATAATAATGAAGTATCTGTCACGCTGCAGCACAAGGCTTGTGACAATGGGAAAATACTTTGAAAGGACTAGCAAAATTTAGCGTTCACTGAAGAAGAACAGTTTTGACGTTATCAGAAGAAAAAACAACTTTTAATGAATATCTGTTTTTAACTCTTTTCATTTGACGTACAAATTCTCTTAGTTTAGGAACCATCATCTGTTATTTTATATATTTACAACTAAACTAGTCGGATTCAATCGATGACTTTATACAATGCCAGAAGTAGTTTTGATGATACCTCATAATCGAAGATTTTTGACATCCTATCGACATTAATTTTGAAGTAGGAAATGGGTCTGCTTTTTTTGTCTTGCTAGGATTCTTTATGGTAGCACAACCCGAAATTAAAAATCGAAGTTTAGCTACTGGTAATGTTTCCAATAATTTTAATAGTCACTGGATTACTGTTTCAAACTTAATTGAATAAGTTGCTTCATTGCTAAAACATAGATATAAGTTATGATTGAATTATGTCATTGTGATGAATTGTCTTGCAACGAATTGTCCGGTCACCTATTAGTTCTGTGCTACGTTCGATAAGTATATAAATAAGTTAGAAAAGAGCAGACATACTCAGAATTAGTTTTCTTTCTATGATCTAATTCACAAATAAAATATTCCTTAACTGAATATTTTCTATACACATCAAATAGTTTGAACATGAAAAAGACATAGAAATTATTCTGATCCATTATCCTTTCTGTAGTGATTTATGTATGAAATGTTTGACAAAGAAAGAATGTACTATTCTAGGACACTAAATATTCTTCTGAGAGTATTGGCTGCAAGCATATAAATTTCATTTAATCATTAAAAATGATGTAACTACTTTATCGGATGGCAGTTTGCCTTAGTGTCTGGTAACAATTGTAAAAAAAACAATAATGATAGATGATGCAGAATCCTAGACTGATGTCGGTTGGCTCCGACGTAGAACGCATAATTGTTGATCATATATTGATGTTCTAATGAAAATACTACCTTGAAAGAAAAAAGTACGAGTTGTTTTTTGACGTCGATAAAATTTCTCGAATCATATAATCGGTACCTAAAATCCTGATTATTCGAGATTTATTTTCTATACTTTGGTTCATTATGAAATATTTAAAATCGATAAGGAAAGCTTCTCATCTGTTTTTGAACATCGATAGCTTAGATAAATAGTGTAGGAAGTTATAGAAAAGCGAGGTAAAGGTTACTGAAATATTATCTATTCTTACATTGTCAACACCGGTTTAGTCAGTTTGAATCTCTGACGTTCCATCAGACTTATTATATTTTAAAAATCAAAGATAAGGAAAGATAAGTTTACAATTTAAATTTTATGTAGTTCTCAGAAACTAAGTTCATTAGTACATGTTTAATTTAATATTCGACTGCAATTTAAGGAACAATGGATTAAAAAGAAATTTTTAGTCTGAACTATATTTTCTTAAAATAACAGAAAAGTTGATCGTTTGTCATAGTTAATGTAGGTCTAAAATAAAATTTAAAATAATGGTGAAGAAGACTGCTAAGCAACTTCTTTTGTATGTCATGTTAATTATTTCTGTATTATAAAAAATTCTCTTTTATAATCCAAATGTAAGAAGACGCAATCGAAGTAAATACTAATTGTATAAAAATAATCCCATTGTATGTCACTAATCATCTAATGACTATTTACATGGATTTCTTGGTATATTTTCTCATCCATTACAATAGATTAAAATGCATTTAATATATTTATTTGTATTTTTAAATACATACGACGATTACTTCGTAAAGTTAGAATATAGAGAATTAAATCAGTAGCCAAAAGAGATTTATCTTACTCTTATCAATAACTAAATTTTCTTTTTAAATTTTTTTTTTGAGAAAATAGATGAAATAATGTATCTTTTATTTTCTATTCGCACAACGTTAAAAAAATAGAATAGAGCAATATGAACCAACAGACATTTTCTTTGCGATAACAATGTAATTGTCTGAATAATATAATCTAGTATATAACATATGATTATATAAAACAGCACGTTTTTAGTTTTATTGTCTTGAAAATGGGTTGTTCACAATCAAAATCTAAACTATTGTTGATCAAAGCTATGGGACCGGAGTCTCGTCCAAGATCTATTAAATTACATTTATCACCTAATCATCAATCAGATCGTATCGTCGAAGATTATTTCATTATTTGGTTTCTCGATGATTCTTCTATAGAAGTTAAAAATCAAGAAGCTAAGTTACGTCATGTCGTTTCCACTGTAAAAATCTTCCTCACTGTACTGACTATGGAATCATTTCTTGATTCAATGCGAAATTTACCTCGAGTTGAAAAAATTTACGTTCTCGACTCGTCTTTTCACGATGCCGAAAAAACTATGGATCTTGCTGTATCATCGAATATTTTTTATAATATTGATAATCTTTGCAAACAATGACGAGCTGACGTTGAACTATGTAGACTCGATCTTATAGTTATAACTACTTCTGCCTCATCAACACAAGTTGATACTAATACAAGCAATTTGAAACAACAAGAAGCATCATTTCTACGTGCACAATTAATGAGAGAAATTTTATATCGATTAAAATTTGAAAATAAGGCAAAAACTGAATTCGTTAATTTTTTTTGACAACATTATGCAATTAATAATGAACAATTACGTATGATTGATGATTTCGAAACAAATTATCGACCACAAAAAGCACTTTGGTGTTTAACAGGCGAATGTTTTATTTGGCGTGTATTACAACGTGTACAACGTACATATGAGGTCGATATTCTTTACAAGTTAGGTTTTCTCGTCAAACATGTACATACATAACACAATATTTTCCTGGCAAATAATTCATTTGCACCGGAAAATATATTAGTCGTATATCATGGCAAGACCATGTTTAGCAATAAGTTTAACACATTGACAAAAAAAACTGTGGTGACCTTCTTTCGTTTCGCAAACTCTTTACGGGTTACATGGATAAAGAAATCGGTGTTCTATTCGAAATAAACATTCATCCAACAATAGGCAGTACTACAGGTCCATTTGCTTCGCTCGGTCAAGTTCATGTTGATGAAAAGATTCAAAACAAATGGAATTTCATTTGGTATAAGCACAATCTTTCATATTGGTTCTATCGAACAATTTACTGACGAATCTGCAACTAATATATGATCTGTGCAAAATAACCTTAATAGTTGACAATGATCAACAATTACTTTGCCTTCTAGCACCATTACGAAGTAGTGAAGTGTATTATAACCCACTGTCATATATGGGTAAACTATTTATGAAAATGGGTGAATATGCATATGTTAAACAGTTCTTTCTCGGAATGTTACAAGATGCTTCATGTAGTAATCAACCACATCGTCTTGTACGTGTGAATAATGATCTTGGAGCTAATTATATGATTAAAGGCGATTATGCTAAAGCATTAGAACAATATCAACAGACATTTGACGTTAGCTTAAGTTATTTACCACTTAGCCATACTGATCTCGCTCCTATCTATGATGCATCGATAAAAATTACTTTCATCAAGGTGATTATCAAAAAGCTGTAGAGAATTATGAACGAGCAGCAGATTTAATTGAACAGAGTATACAATCAGGTAATAATCAAATCGTCAATGATCTAAATATTCGTATCGACATCGTTAAAAGATTATTTAACAAGAAAGAATGATTTTCTTTCTTTTTTTCATGATCTTTCGTTGTTTGTATTCAATTAATTCTTTTATTCTTTAGTAAGTATTATACACATAATGTTGTTATAGAGAATTTGTTCTTTTAATTTTAATACCATTTCTTTTACTTTATAAGTTTAAATACTATAAATTGACACGATTCATAGCAAAAAGAATAAAATCTTATATTTACACGAAAAATGTCAATAAAATTCACTATGCATCAGGATATCAACAATCATCGATTCCGTTTAAAAGATTATTAACGTGAGAATATAACGAATGGCACTTAAAAAATGAGGCATTTTTGTTCCACCTTTTTGAGTCTTTAGGAAGTTTCTAGAAAGACCATTCTTAGATTGGAAAAAAGATAGAGAATTTTCTGCTCCACATGAATATAAGTCTGTGGATTAAAAAAAACGGTGTCTTCGTATACAAAAAAACGAAACGAAATAAGGTACAACGATCAGTATGTGGTTCTTCATAATAAAACTGGTTGTAATTATGAAATTTGAAGACATCCAATCAGTGGTATTTCAACAGTAATTCTCAATCTGTGGATGAAAATAATCGAAACGACTGACTTTACCGTTCAACATGAACTCTTAGTTCGAAAAAGTAAAAATTCGTACAAAAAATTGATTGAAATGGTTAAATAACGTATCTGGCAAGGCGTAAGTAGGCCCATATCAAGAGGATGCACAGAATGTTGGTGTATCCATCTTAAAGATTTTTTTTCATTTTATGCTCTGATTCAATAATAACTCGCAATAATCTTTATTCAAAACACATGTTCGATAAATCTTGGAACAGATATTTAATGTCTCATTCTGCAGGTCATATTATAAGTTATCAAGAATACATTATTGGATAAAAATAAAAACAAAACAATGATGACCTGACACATTGACAATTAATGAATGGAGGAAAATGTTAGGCGGGAAGAAAAAGAGCGTTATTTCTCATTGTCTAAGGTCATCACCTTAACATTTTTATTTTTCATTGTTGTCACGAACGGCAACGAGAAAATGATGACATATATATACTGAACGAAATCAATAGACAGTAGTAGTTGAATATGGACATTTTGTCGAACAACAATATCAATATTCTCCATTTACCCAATGAAATATTGCTTAAAATTTTCAACAAATTGAATATGGTCAATGTACTCTTTTCATTAGTGGATGTCAATGAACGATTTAATCGATTAGTATTTGATCCTCTTTATATTCGTAACCTTGATTTGACCATGAAATCATCGTTTTATCGTATTTCTTCAATAGATAATCAAATGCTTGATAGTATTTGTGAAAAAATCTTACCTCTAATTCATCATCAAGTAACCAAACTCGCTTGTGAATCACAGTCAATAGAACGTATTCTTACTGTTGATTATCCTCAACTTTACTCTTTATCACTTACTAATTTCAAAGAAAAAACATTTGTTCAATATTTCACAGGTATACTACTTAAGTTTCTTTGTCTTAACTTAGCATATTGCCACACATGAACTGATGATCATGTATTCTTGGCTAGATTTTGATTGCGGACATATTTTCTGTTTCTTAATTAATGGAAAATAACTGGAAAGCAGAATCTCAAGAAAGATAAGTATTGGCAAATTTGAAAACATCTGCATTATATAATCAAGGCAAGGTCTTGTATGAAGACAAATCCGTAATGAAAAATAGTTTAACATTTAATTATTGCTAGATTGATAATCGAGATCCTTTTTGTCATCGTATTGCGTACGACGATCTATTGATAATAATGAGAACATAATCTCTTCTGCAAACCATCGATATTCAAGAATCTTTTTAAATATACTTGTTGTACTTAATGAGCATTTGTTTTGATGTTACTCTTCGATGATGCATCGACTTTATTGAGCTTGTTCTTTCTGTAGTCGAACCAATTGTTGACTCTTCTAACTCCTGAATATATCTAATCAAGGTCCAATGATTTAAATGTATTTGACAATGAGAATATAATTGATGAAAATAAGTTTTTAGTTATATTCATGTAGAACATTTCTGCCAATGAAAAAAAAAGCGAACTAGAGTACTCATGATGTTCGACACCAAACTAATTCGAATAAATCATATCCTGTCTTAAATCAAGCTTGTTACTGTAATTCTTTAACTTTATCTATTTTTGCTTGTTTCCTTAGTGGTAGTATTTTTTCAATTTGTTATCACTTTTCCCTGTTGCCACGGCTCTGCTTTGCGAATATTTTCTTCTTTCAGTGAAAGAACTCTGTCCACAATCAAGAATACAGTTTTTTTGTACATTTTAGGTAATACTACTCTTCGTCGTCTTCTCAACAATCAAATTACAGATCTCATTGTCGAGATTAAAGATGAAAGAACAGCAGAGTTATCTGATGAAAACAAATCAAGTGCATTTCCATTAATATTATCTTTGTGTAAACGATTACGTGATTTGACCTTTTGTGAACAGTTATCTAATCAAGGTTTGCCCATTTCAATTTTTAAGCTCCCATCAACAAGTTGTATGTCTTCAACTCTTACTAAATTGAAAATTGATGTTAATACTTTTGATGATTGTCTGTATCTTCTTGATGGACGTTTCGAATATTTATCCACATTGATCGTCGATATAGTTAAAATTTCTATTTCACGATCGAAAATAGATAATACAGTAAGTATAGTTGGTCGCTGTATATCAGGAAAACATAGGCAATCTTAACTTTTTTTTGTTTTATAGAAAAAACTTATCAAATTAAAACACTTTTCATTAACTTCGATTCATCACACAATATTTTATGACAAACAAGTTGTTCCACTACTTCATCGAATGTCAAATCTTGAAGAATTGACATTATCGCTTTCAGTATTAAGATCCGAATCGACTTTTATTGATGGCAATCATTTATATGATGAAATTCTTGTTCACATGCCACGGCTAAACAAATTTACTTTCAGTATAATCACTCAAATTGTTAATGAAAACATTAGAATTGATTTTCCATCCAATGATGACATTCAATTGAGTTTCACCAAAAGAGAATATAATCAAGTTGATTCGTATGCCGATTTCAATTCAACTACGAACATAGCGAGATGTCATGTCTATTCGATTCCATATCAATTCGAAATCTTTGTTAATTTGAATAACTTTTTTTCAAGGTGGCATATTTAATAAAGTTCGACACTTAATAATGACTGATACCAGTGCATTTGAACATAAATTATTCAAACTGGTATCTCAAGATTTTCCTTGTCTTGAACATTTATATGTAAGTAATTTACATCCGCAGAAAAATAAGCAACATTTATCTACATTGATTGTATTTCCACAACTGCTCGCACTCTATCTGAATGGAGCACATGTAAATTATGCTGAACAGTTTCTCTTCGAATCAAACACTCGTTTACCTCGTTTGGTGAAACTCGGCATCAACTACGAAGAACTTGTAATCGTAACAAATAATTTTACCACTGATGCCGCACGCCTTAACTGTGCTAACTTGCAAAATGTTCATACGGACAGGTTGTTTGTTCGTCCGGAAAATTTTCATCAATATTTTCCTTTATTGTAAGTAATATTTCTTTTGTCAAAACTTGTTTCAGTAAAGAATATCTTAAGAAAGTTGATTACATATTTTCGATCATAATATAGAAAACTAAATGATTTTTTTATTAATTCGAATTAATTTCGAAAAAAAGAAAAGTAGTATTGTGTTTCAAGTCGCAAGAAGATCAAGATGCATATAATTCTGTGTTATATGAAACGTTTATTTAATCGGCATCACTTCTCATACTCGCATACAATCAAAAACTGATCAGTTGGAGCATAATAAATAAATGAAAGTAAAATAAGGGAAGACATCTGTAATATAGAAAAGCGCGTTTTACATTAATTGATATTGTAAGTTGTCATATAGAAATTTTAATTCAGAGCGAGTACTCTTAGATCTAAGTCTACTGCATTGTTTATTCGAAAAAAAAGAGATCAAACAACAATAATGCGTGGAAATAAGTAAAACAAATAGGTGTGCTCTTTAATTTGGTCAGCGTGATGTATAGTTCAATGATTGTTTACATCGAACAGCTGATGAAATCAACCTTTTCCATTGGACTATAGTGTTGCTTTCATTCCCGAGATCCAAACAGGCCATCGAGCCTGTCTGCCTGGGACAGGCACAGGTCCTTAATTTTTGAGCTTGTCATAGGCCAGAGAGGCAGCCTGCTTGTCGTGTTTTTCCTAAATTTTCAATAAAAACTTCGTTTTTTGAACCAAAAATATGAGTATCAAAATATACAGTTGAATAACTTTGCCGCTGGAATATGAGACATAATTTTTTTCATCATTTTCACTCAATACAATTATGAATAATAGTAGATTGTGACTTTATTGTTTATTGTCTATTGATTTACTCTACTTATCGGTTTCGTTAACGAGAGAAGACAACTAATTGTTAAATCGCTTTTAAAGTTTTATTGATGCCAATTTGCAGAGCTTGTTGAGTTATTAACCCTTTCAGTCCCGGCTTTTTTCGAAAAATTCAAAAATCATTTTTTTTTAATTTTTACTTAATTTTATTTGTGTTTCGTATTTCAAAGAAAACGAAATATGAATATATTGAATTTCTTGAATACATGATAAACAGAGATATAACAAGTCATGAGAACAATGAATAACAGGAGAAAGAATAGAAGAGACGGAAAAGAACAACCAAATGAGGAATGGCAGGAACGATCACACATATATATATACTAGCGAGAACTCGTGCATATTGCACGGTCTTTTTTTTATCAAGAAAAGAAGTTTTTTTCGTGAGGATAAGGGGTTGTCAGGGATACAATCCAAATCTTTATTTCTGTTCTATAAAAACAGCTTATTTATTGAATTTTCATTCTATTTTAAAACANGTAGTCACGAAGATTTAGCATGGTGTTTTAGTTTTACCTGTAATTCTTTATCACAAGAACTGCAAAAATTGACTGGTATACAATCACAACGAAAAAAAATTCGTCTTGTTACATTTAATCGACAAATTATTTCAAAAGAAATAGATACGACTATTTATGCTGGTTTGGAAATTAAAATTATTCAAAACTTATCACGAGATACTGTTCAATGTTACCTTTATATTACCATCGATTGCTCGCACATGTCCATTAGTTTTGGCAACATTTGGTATTGATTACATTGAGCGTAAAGGCAAAATTGAATGTCTCAGCAATGTATGCAGCTGTAGGTCTTTTTCTTTCCGATTCTTTCGTAATTGGCTCAGCCATTGAAAACAGAATAAATGAAAGTAAACGATATTGGTTCGATAGCGATTATCTTTCCTGGATATTTAATAATACAATTCTTCTTTGTACTGAAAAAAAAGACAAGGATTCCTCAATAGAAATTCGTGCAATATCTGCTTCAACTACTCTATTGCATAAACGCAAACATATACCATTCGAAGAAGCGAAATCAATAGCTCAAAAAAACATAAGTAAATGCAGGGTATTTCATTCTGAAAATATGGCATCTGTTACTTGCACAGGATCTACCACTTACTCATTTACTGACATTTTGTTTCCTACTGATCATAATTCTATCGAATCAATAATTATATCAATATGAAAAACTAATACCGTTGAAAAGGATATCGAAAAGACTACCAGAAGTATCATTGGTGCTGATCGTATTGCTGAAGATCAAATTTATCGGCATAGAGTAAAAACACAAAATCATTTGCAAAGAAATAGAAAGATGATAAACGATTGGAAAGATCCATCGATTGTATAGACAACATTAATTTTTTGTTTGTTTTGAGTATGCATGTTTATTACGTCTACCGACGCTTATAATACCAACATTAATCCGATATGAACACTTCGACAAAGAACAATATCAATATTCTCGATTTCCCCAATGAAATATTGCTTATCATTTTTAAAAAATTGAGTATGATAGATGTACTCTATTCATTAGTGGATGTCAATGAACGATTTAATCGATTAATACTTGATCCTCTTTATATTCATAACCTTGATTTAACTGTGAAATCATCGTTTATTCATAATTCTTCAACAAATAATCAAATACTTGATAGAATTTGTGAAAAAATCTTACCTCAAATTCATGACCAAGTAAACGAACTCGCTTGTGAACCACATTCAATTGAACGTATTCTAATTATTGATTATCCTGAACTTTACTCATTATCACTTATTAATTTTCAAAAAGAAATATTTTCTCAATATTTAACAGGTATATACTATTTAATTTTCTTTATCTTAATCAACCAAACGTATATTATGACACATGAACTGATGATCATATATTCTTGACTACATTTTGATTGCGGACATTTTCTTGCCAATTGGCCACATTTTAGAATTCCTATAAGATTTCTTATATGAAGAAAAATCAGTAATGAAAGAAATTTTAACATGTAGCTATAGCTAGGTTGATAATTAAGATCATTCTTATTAATTCTATTGAGTATGATGATCTATCGATATTCAAGAGCAGGTTTCCCGATTAGGGAGGGGCTGTGGGAGGTCTAGCTCCCCCCCCCAAAAAAAAACTTGAAAAAATGTCCGACTTTCTGCGAAAATTTCTTATACTTTCTGCCAAATTTTTGAAAATTTGATAGTAATATCTGGCAGAAACTCACTTTTTAAGCACTAATAACCATTTTTCTGACAGGAAGTCGAAGGACAATACTTTCTGTCAACAAAATCTCGCAGAAAGTCGATGAAATTAGCATTTGTTGTTCAGTTTCTGCCGGAAAGTCAACTGAGGCACTTTCTACCAAATTTTTAGCCCCTCCCACTTTTCAAAACAATCGGGAATCCTTTTCATAATAAGAATTTACTTGACTATGATAAACTTTCACAATTAAAAATATTCAGGTAAAACAGATCTTCAAATGAAAAAAAAAGCAAACTAGACTATCCATGATGTCTGATACTAGACTAATTCGAAGAAGATAATATCCTCTATTAAATCGAGATATTTGTAACTGTATGCATGATTCCAATTAAAGAAGCATGTCTTCAATCAAGAGTACATAGTTTTTCTGTATATTTTAGGTAATGAAATTCTTCGTTATCTTCTCACTAATCAAATTACACATCTCGTTGTCGACATAAAAAATGAAATAATAGCAGAATTATTTGATGAAAATCAATTAAATATATTTCCATTAATATTATGTTTATGTAAACGATTAACCGATTTGACCTTTTGTGAATTTTCATCTAATCAAAGATTAACGATTTCAATTTTTAATCTTCCATCAATAAATTGTGTGTCTTCAACTCTTATGAAATTGAATATTGTTGTTAATACTTTTGATGATTGCCTTTATCTTCTTGATGGACGTCTCGAATGTTTATCCACATTAGTCATCAAAATACAAAGAATATCTCGTTCAGTATTAAACATAGATAATACAGTAAGTATATTTCAATCTCTTTGTGAGAAAAAGAAGTAAAATAAACAGATAGATAATCTTATTCTTATTTTTTAGAGAAAACTTCTAAAATTCAAATATTTTTCATTAACTTCGGTTGTTCACACAATATATTATAATGAACAAATTGTTCCATTACTTAATCGAATGATAAATCTTGAAGAATTAACATTATTTATTACAATATTCAGACATGATTCAAATTATATTGATGGTACTCATTTATATGATGAAATTCTCATTTATATGCCACAACTAAACAAAT